TCCTCCGCCCATTCCCATCCCCCTTATTTTGCCTTGATATACCCAAGGCTCCTGTATCAGTAGGATATTTATATCCCACTCCAGGATCCTTCGGCATAGCAAGGCCGTTGGGGCTTTCCCGTGCTGAAGGTTAATCTGTAAAAATTTTACAGCCATTGCTTAGGCCTAATCTGATTGAGGTCCCTTTTCAGGTTCCTCAATCAAGACGTCAAGGTCCATCAGCTGCTCCTCGCTCATCACTGATGAGGTGGGAGATCGGTTAGAGGTCCTCTGAGGAGTTCCTCCAACCGAGTTTGCGGAGGTCCCTTCAGAGGTTCCTCCGCTGGTTGTAGGTGTCGGGGAATCGACTTCGGTTCCTCTGTTACTCGACGCCGAGACTGTCGCCTCCACCGCGTCGATCTCCATCCCGGAGGCACCTTTAAGGGTTCCTTCAGTCTGGAGGGTCGACACGGCAGGTCCGGCCAGCCCGGATTGAGTCCCTGAGGTCCCAGGTTCGGTCCCCCTCGATACCCTACTTTTTGCCGAGGGCCCTTCGAGAATTGTCACAGAGGCGTGCGACGCGCTATAGTAGGGCCGGAAGTTTATTTGGCTGAGAAGCCTCATGGACTGTTCGTCCAGCCCCACCACCAGTCGCAGCCCCTGTTTCTCTTCTTTCCTCTCCCAGAATTTCCATGAAGATCCTGAGAGGCCTGGATTCTGCCTTTCCAGTCTTCTGACGATATCTTCGTTCGGCAGAAACCTCTTCCCCGGAATCCATAGCATGGCTCGGCGTAGCCTTAGCCTTGCTGGATCCATCAGTACCAGAGTGGTGTCTTTCCAAGGAGTTATCTTTCCCAACTCCTTGGTAAGCCACTCCTTAGAGTATTCGTTGGCAGCTGTAACTAGCAGCTGCCTACGCCACAGTCTGGTAGACTTGAACTGTGGGGGTGCAGTATCTGCTTGGATTTCTGCTATCGTATCCCCCACAGCATCTAGAAATTCCAGCAGTTGGTCCTCACTGAACCCTTTGTCAGTTTGACCCTCTCGGGTGATAACCATCTGCATGGACTTGTCCCCAGTGGCCACCTGGGAGAAGTCCGCCCTCCACTGACCAGGGTTGCCGGTCCTTGGACGTTTGGACTCCCGCCCCGTTTCCCCTGGGGTGGATCCCGGTGTCCTGCCTCTTTTGGAGGCAGGTATCGGGTCTTTTCTCGAGGCTCCTTTGGAGGATCCTCTCTGTGAGTCAGAGGTGGTCGATTTCTGACCCGGGCAAACAGGGGCTCCAGTAGTTGGAGCCGCAAGCTTAGCCAGGCGTTCTTTCTTCCTCCTCTTTCTCTCTGCCCCACAAACGTTGGGCTTCTTTGCGACAGTCCACTGTCCTTCTGCCGAGGTCCGCTGACGTTCCTCGGCTTCAACTGTAGGATCTTGAGGGGGGTTAGAAAGGGATGGTGGTGGAGGGTGGGATGGAAGGTCAGGGGGCTCGAAAGAGCCCCCTGCCGTTGGGGTGTTTTCTGAGGTCACCGGTGGGGTGTCCTCAGTAGGGGTGGTATGCGAGAGCTCCGAAGAGCTTCTCTGTGTAGCCTCCGATCCCTGTTCGGTTCCAGAGGCTGGAAGGGATGGGTATGAGGGTCCTCTGTGAGTTCCCTCTGGCAGGATAGAGGGTCCCTGTAAGGTTCCCTCTGGTTGGGACGAGGGTACCCGAACGGTTCCCTCTCTTTGGGACTGTGGTGTCCCCTCTTTCCTCTTCTTTGTTTTCTTTTAATTTTTTTGGTCCATTTTTGGTCCCACGAGTACTGGGGAATGGATCGTCACCCCCTGCAGAGCCCCTTGCAGGGGGAAGGCCTTTACTTGAGGAGGTCGCCAGGTATCCTCAAGGCTCCGTTTGCGACGGTGCTCACCCACCGCCATGCATCCATTGGCACGGGTCGCGTTACACCTTGGATTGGGGGGTTGGTCAGCGTCACCTTATTGGTTATTCGGTGATAACCTACAGCGTGATAGTGGGTCGCACTACCCGCACCGTAGGCCGTCCGGCTATCCGCCGCCTGCCGACGCTCCCAGTAGCCGCCCAAGCCCTGGGCGCGATCTGGCTGTATTTTATAGATATTTTCATGGACGATGCTCTTCTGAAATATCAACAATTGCTCCTTCCTTGGCAGTCCCCGCGAGATTAACCCGTCGAGTTGAGGCTTTGCACCCCTTCGTTGTCACTTTGGAGACCTGCAGAACATCTCTTTCCAAAGACTCGTTCATCCAACGAACAGCGAGGCTCTGGAGCACATTGCCAAGGGAGGTGTTCCCCGAGGCATATAACCTCCAGATTGAGATATTTAAGGAGAACACCAATTCCAACCTTATTTCCCTTGGTTCTCACGATGTTCTCTGTACATTACAGGATATCCATTTTTGTGGGAAACAGAACATTAAGAAGAAAAAAAATTTAAACATACTTCAATGCCAGTTCAAACTGGCATTAAACATACTTCAATGTCAGTTCAAACTGGCAATCATAAAAAAAAGGTAATCATGTCCTTTCAGCGCTTTCGTAGAATTCATCTCAAAAGATGCGAGAAAGTGAATATAATTCACCTGTATGTTTTCTTACAGGTGCCCCAGTGTGCGAATAATGTGTGGATTCTATCGGTGAAGTTGCGGTAAAAGTGATTTTCTACCTGTTAGTCTCGGCTCGCCTGACCTAACCCACTTCACCCGCACAATGGGGATGGGTTCTGAAAAGACTGGCGATCACATTTCTGGAGAGTCATCAAGTGCAGTCATTCAGTCAGGTATGGGAACGTCATTGGTAATGATATTTTCGTATAGGAATGTTTGTGTCCTTATTGGAATATGTTTGGTATTTGTAACCATTTTTTGAGTATATTTTCTAATTAAAAACTATTTCGTGAATGTGCGAGGATCGCTGGTAAAATTCATACTGCTCAAAATCAGTAGTGGTAAATACTTACCTATACCCTATATATCTGTTGCTAAACCACAAACATTGCATTGCATTCTTTCTCTTTCACATTCAATATCACATTTCACCCTACAATCTGCTAATCCATACTGTTCTAGTCATAATTCTCCGAGAAAATTATTTGAATATTCTCACAATATTTTCACAATATTCTATGGACGTTCTATTAACATTCGGAATGGATATTGTTTCAAATATTCTGAGAATATTCCTGATGGAATAAGGAGAAGGGAGGCAATTATATAAAGCTTATCTTATTGCTCCCACACGGAGATGGCCGGTCATTCTCATAAGAACCACAATTCACATGTTTTTCACATGTTGAGTTGTGAAAGTTGTGAATTACAATAATATGTCTGCTCGATTCAAATCCACATGTATAGGTAAGTTTATTCCTAAATCTCAATGAAAACTTCCAAATATCATAATCGTTATCGTATAAAAAAGGTAAGAAAACAAATTTTTTCATGATAGTTTCCAAACTGCGTTTGCACATCCCCAGGCAGATGTTATTGATTTATCTTGCTTATTGTCTCGTAGATAATTGATAAACATCGAATCGTTTTAATTACGGCATATAAATGAGATCCATAACCTCAAAATGCTATCCATATCCATATTGAATTTTATAAAAAACTGTAGTTTTTCAATAAACTTTATATTATTATATATTCTCGATATTGCTTGCAAAAGGTAGGTAAATACATTGAATCGTTGACGTATGCCAGGAATTTTTAGAACCAATATTTATCTCCTCGCTAACGAATTTATTCCAGTTAAAGTCTCCACTCTGACAATTGTCAGAATATTTATATAATATTCTGTGCTGTCTGGGGTACATATATAATAACGTTCCAATATATAAAACTGTCCTGGCTTATTATTGTTAACCTCTATAATTTGATTATTTTCAAAAAATTGAACCAAAATTTGCTCTTCGATTCCATAAAGGCACTTCGCGAAGCACAATTTTACAATATAGGATCATGAATCTGAGTGACTTATATTCTAGGGTTGTGAAGTATTCGTCAGGAGCTAGATTCAAAAGGATGTGTCAAAAGACCTCACCTGTTCCGTTTATTTTTTTTTTAGATGGCGCCCAGTCGCCATATTGAAATTTCCATCTGTCAATTTTAGTCCAAAATGAAATATTTATGCATCAATTTTTAAAGAAAAGCACTGTTTAATGTGAGTACTTGAAGCAGGTGAGATAAATAACGGAATTAGCTTATATTTGATCAGATTGGGATTATCAATTAACAACATCGCGACTGTTTCAAATCTATTGTGTCTACCCTCTAAATCCTCAAGTTCTTTGGCTATCCCTATCTCCTCTATCTATGGACCCTATAGAATAGCTTTTTAGATACCCTGTGTAACTTTGTCCCCTTAATTTCTCGAAATCCATCGTACGGGGCCTTCACAGTGGACAATAAATAAGATTCCTATTCCGGATCGAAGGTGCATGGTGGTTCTTCAACATAATATTACGAGACCTTATGCCTAGATGAAATTACATAGACGTGCACAGGAATCCCCTTGCGTGTCCACCATCTAGCGATATACCCGTTGACATCAACTGGCCATCCATTTGTAGATGAAACCATGGACACTAGCTCCATATATGACTATAGTAAGTAGAAGTGACTATGAATAACAGCTGTGACATGTCCCAGTTTGAATTCTGAGGAAACTGTTTTGATTTGGGAAATCACGTTTGGATATCTATTTTCACCCTTGTAGGTTTTCAGTTTGGAACAGTATTATAAGTGTTTATTGCAGATGTAATTTATTTGTCTACTTCTGAACCTTTGATTTTCAATTGGGACACAGATTTCGCTTTTGGCAAATATATAGCAAATATATAGAACGGAGTGCCAGCAGACAATATATAGGTATCCAATGTTGTTGAACGATTCTCATTATTTTTTTTATTGAGAAATGGATATAACATTATTGCAATGTGACTTCATAGATTTGATTGAACATGTAACTGTTTGGATTGGGATAGTTTAGGTTTAGGAAAATAGCCAGATATTGATATAAATTAAAAATAATTTTATTTACAAAACTAATTTATCACCACTTAAAAATCGATTTAAATTACTATTCAAATTTTCAGTCTGTCAGATGAGACGCATCACAATTTACAATATTTTCTCAATTTGATCAATTCAGTTAATTAAAACAACTAAGAACACATGACATTATGCTGAAGTACAAAAATACCAGTAACTATATCTTATGATTAAAATCAAATAAATATATTTGCCTACCAACTATACCAGAACCTTATAAAATGCCCCAGTTTCGATGGCAACATCACATTTTTATTGCGAAATAAATTGCACATATGAAATTAAATAGATGGACTGGATCTGTCATTGAGTCAAATTCAAAACCATTAAACACTTTGGTGACTTAGCATTGCATAAATCAGCTCATTCATTGAATGATAGAGACAGGTATGCTTTAGCGAAAATAGATGCTACAAAGAGATAGACAGTAAAAACAACGTATTTTTTATAACTAATTGAAAAAAAAGTCAAATTGATGATAAAATTCTTTAGAATTGGCTGAATCCTTGAGTAACCTATTCATTTTAAATGCATTCAACGTATCCCACTCAAGGATTTCCGAAAAAAATTCATTAGAACGCTGTTTTCAAAATCCTCAATGTAAGATACATTTCCTCAATTATTTTTATACACTCTATTTACATAGTAAAAGACTGTGTCTCAATATATATATATATATCTTTAGCCCCAATGTGGTGCAAAACTTTGTACAATTTGTCATTTCACACTCTCATTTGTTCATTCTCCCTATTTGTACTATACTCAAATGGCAGTATAAAATATCTATGTTTACATCCCTAACCTCTTGATGCTCCTTCCCTGTGTTAAGCGGTTACGTGAATCACAATTCCATGTCTTCGATTTTTGTCTGAAGTGTCTCAAATCTTCTTCATGATCTGGGTGATTCATCTCTTTGTATGCCACAGGAGTGCACATCTCTGAGAACTGTTGGAAGAAGGTTTTGTAGCCACCTTCCAGGAGGTATATTTCAGGATAGTTCAAGGATGGATAGTCACTTTCATTCTTGTGTCTGTCCTCTTTCCTCAGATAACGGTAACTGTAAAAAAAAATAGAATAATTAGTATTCTATTGAGCAAATGCTATCATCTTATATTATTATATCATATTAGGATCAACAATTATTTTAGTTAGCATTGATTCTTTAAATGAACTCAAAGTTCCAAAATCGATTATAATCCACCTTTGCCACAATTTTCATCTTGTATTATGAATAAGTTATTATGCAAAGATGAACAATACATCCCTCGCAGATGAGTGCCATGATTTGGTAGTTGAATTGAAGTGTTCTCTATCTCTTATTTTCTTTAATTTTCGATACTGGGTCTGATCGTGATTATCAAATTCTGAGCTAGTCAAAATTGAAACTTGAGTGACTAGAAACGGAAGATTGATTCTCCGGTATATTATTTATCAAACCATATTTTAGAATTTTTGATCTCTAAGGATTTGATGAGCATCTTTGGAACCACTTATTTATAAGATAACATTCTCATATAACCATTGATGTATTTAAAGTTTTTTCAAACATCAAATTAGCAGTTAAAGCAAATTCGCATTTATATTTCTTCAAGGGATTTTGTTTCTTCATATTATATTCATTATCAGCAAGGAAGTGAGAAGTGAGCGAATCAGTTATTCTAAAAATGTTTCCTTATCTGCAGTTTTCATGAAATTATATGAACAATCACAAACTGTATACTTACAGATTAGGTCCTCGTTCACTGGAGAATTCACAGTGGAACACCAGAATATGCCTTTTAGTGGAGTTTTGTGCAGTAACTTGACTGTCAGCCAGTAATTCCATGCACTGTTCCTTAGTGTAAATATTGGTAGCTCCTTCGATATGGCCCCCCTCAAATTCATAAGGATACCGGCAGTCGATGACCTTGTAAGATCCAATGGCATCATCGAAATTCCCTTCCATCAGCCTGGCCAGAGTCTGAGCCGTAATCGCTTTTAGGTCTTGGTGACGACTTCTAGTCAACGGTAGGCTGAAACTCCTGCTGAAGTCTCCGATCAAATCGGGATCGGTCGAAGATTTTTGTACGGCGTACATGATACTTTCTTCAGTCGCAGAGAAGGCTCTTTGCAAAGTCGGCCTTGACTGTGGCACGAAGGCTTCTTCATCGTCTTCGCTATCCTCGAACATCCTGGATCTCTTCACTCCAACAGACGTCTCAGTCTCATTTGGTGGTTCTGGTCTTTTGAAGGAACGATTTTCAGCATCGGCCTTGAACAAGCTGGTGCGAACCCTGCTGCTGTTGGGAGTGACCCCTGAGCAGGCGGTGTTCTGCAAGGATAGGGCTCTGCGGAACACTGATGGCTTGATGATTGGATCTCTAGGAGACGTCCTTTCTTTGCCTTTGAGGATCAGCGGGTTCGTGATCAGCTTGTTAAAGTCTTTCGGCAGATTTGGTTTTTCGAGTGGCTCTACATCAGAGAAGTCCAAAAACTCATCTTCCATGGAGCACATGGAGCTCGAACCGAAAGATAGGAATTTTTCTCCGTGATAGCTGGCTCCATAGCCAGAGTCCTGGGAGTTGGAGTCATGTTCTTCTAAGGGGCGACGATTCGAATGGGTGCAGTGAGTTGGGGAGGTTTCTCTGCATGGAAGGGGGCTCCCACTATCATACATTGACAGCTCTTCGCTCTTCATGCTGAAGGATTGTACGTTTTCTTTGTCCAGGTAGGGATCATCTATGGCTTCACATGACATCATTCTACTTGATCTGTAAACAAAAAAGCATAATTGTTTTGGGTGCTAAATAAGTTCCGAACATTATTAGTGTTGATGAATGAACAAAACATTTTTCGAATTATCTGGCCAAGTATTTCGTTTCAATTAAAAGCTTCGAATAACTCTGGGATTTCAGATGACGACATCATCAATACTTCCTTCTAAGAGAAAAAAAAAGGAATATTCCATTCTAAATAAAAAATCCCATGAATGTTTTTGATCCCTACAAGATACCAAGACATATCCCAATTGGACTATAATTTTATTTGAATACTTCTGGTTTTATGAGAAACCATGATGTTTGATGGCCTTTGTAGTGTAAGAAATGACCCAATTAAAAAATTCCTAGGCATTTGGGGTTATTACTAACTACAACCAGTCTTGATGTACCACGGACAAAGACGACCGATCGAGAGGTAAATGGATAATTTCAAGATCTATTAAAATTCCAAGATCTGGTCCTAAGGCCAGTTTCAGAGAAAAATGCCGTACGTGTGTGTACACATGAGTTTCCTAACATCTTTGGTTCTCACGGTTTTACGGATATTGTAAGTTGTTTGTTTCGAAAATTTGAGTAAATCACCCACATCCGTGAAAGACACCTGTTTTGGACTGATAGGAATAGGATAGGGATTTTGTAACTATATTTCACGATATTACATGATTAAAATCAGATAATCTTCAACTTAGTTAATACAAAATTAATGGAACTAGTAAAAATAATGATTTACGCGACACATTTGCTTGCTCTAAAAATTTATGCACAAGTATCTGGACCACCCTGTATAATCAGCATGACTAAATGCACCATACATGTTAGATGACTTCTGTGAAAAAGTGGAAATGGTTTTTGAAAATTTTATTTCGGTTTTCTCATTCAAGGTCAGTGAAAATTGAATTCGAAATATTTTGGGGTTGATTTTCCGGTTTTCCTGGAAATGATATCGATTTTCAGATGGAACACCCTGTATTTCATTGGATTATTTCAAACGATTACGAAAATATTCACGTTCGAAGTTTCCGTAAGCTCAATGGGTGTGACGGAGCAATATCGAATCTCCTTTCTCTGTCACACTATTGGGCTTATGGTAACTTCGATCGCGAATATCCCGTAATCGTTTGAAATAACCCTATCAAATCCAGTTTTGTTGAATTTGTTATAGTTATCTCTAACCGATTATGGAATAGAATACAGGGTGTTCCATTTGAAAATCGAAAGTTGAAGTCATATCCAGAAAAAACGGAAGATGAAAAACTATTTGCTAAAATGAGAAATAGTGCCCTCTAGTGAGTTTATTCGATGTTCCAAATTTCGGGAATATGGCTAGAAAAACAAAGGAGAAATGGTCAGTGTCACCCGGTATCCAGGATGACTGACAAAAACACGTCTCAAGTCATAGCGCCGCTTTTGACTATCCTATTTTGAAAATCAGATAAGCAAATTAAATGATTCATCAGATACTACAAGGTGACACTAACGATTTCCTTTTCCAATTTCAATATTTTTAATTTTTTTTTCAGATAAATTAATTTTCTGAATATAATGATGTATAGAAAGTTGACTTTCGCGCAAAATTAGTTGAAAAAAATGTATGCTCCGTAGACAAGAAATGGGTTCATCTATCAAATTTTCTATTTAGTCTTCGGATGTTGAGTCCGTTGCTCATAAAAAATACGTTGTTTTAATGTTGAGAAACTTGAGAAAATGATTTATTGAAAACAAATGACTATCTTAGAAAACTACAAACTAGAAAAAGTATAATGAATGATCGTGTATGATCCATTTCTTGCCTACGGAGCATACATTTTTTTCTTCAACTGATTCTGCGCAAAAGTCAACTCACCAAACATCATTAGGTATATTCAGAAAAAAAGAATCTCCCAAAAAAAATTTTAAAAATATACGTCATTTGAAAAAAAAGTTGACAATCGCTGTCGTTTGAGTAGAAATTGGAAAAAGAAATCTGATGAATCATTTAATTTGTTTTTTTGTTTATCAAAATCGGATAGTTGATAGCAGCGTTTTTTGTCAGTCAGCCCATCGTCCACCAATATTCTTTGGTGAACGATGGTCAGCCTGTATATATACATAATTAAGATATGATGTATCAAGTACCTACTTCCTTGATATCATTTTATTATGAAATAACTTTCTAATCGTTCCCGCGCTTGAAGCATACCTGACCTTGAGATTATGTAAACAAGTGTGGTGTTTGAGCGCCAAATTATTGGTATTTCACGGAATCCACATCTATAAAATATGAAGGATGTGAACAGCAGAGACTTACTATTTATGACAAAATAACGAGTTATTTATTTATGGAATGAAGTATCGCAAGTCGCAAACGCCTTACTAGGTACCTACCCATTTCAGATAAAAAGCATTGAGGATTGCGAATCCGAAGCCTTTTTTGTCTGTTTATTAGCAGGATCGCAAGAAGTTGAAGATGATAACAAACAGTTCCATTTGAAATCGGTATTCAAATGTTGGAAAAAAGTACACCTCAGACTAAATAACAATAGATGAAACATCATAAATCATTGAAATGTATATTTGATTTATATATCTATAAAAAATCGGGTTAGTCACTCTGAGAAGAAGACACACAACACACAAGTTATTTTCTACGTAAGAAAAATTACTTGAAAATTGAACTGAGGAAAGGGAGAGGCAAATCGAAATTCTTCAGGTAGGTAGGTTATTACATAGTAAAGGTACCGATGTTCAAATTGGTAATAGAAATAAATATGAGATGGAAACATAAGAGAAAGTTTCAAAAACAGTCAGGTACAAGAGTGAGCAAATTGTTCCTCTTTTTATTCTGACGTACAGGGTGTATCATTTCTTGGCGAGCCAGCTCCATATGCTGTCATATCTCAGAAAAAACTCATATGGATATCATCACGTGTGAATTTATAGTTTTGTTTTGAATATTGCGTCTCGTCATTATATTACCTATATCTGATTTCAGGAAATCGAGGGGGAGAAAACGCTTCAAAATTATGTACGGGGTGATTGTTTATATTTTACTTAATACCTATATCTCAGTTGATGTTGGTTCTACAAAAACGTTCAAATGGGTAAATTCTAGCAAATATGAAGTATTTTTTACTCGAATTTCGGAAAAATCTATATTTTCCGAAAACTGACAAAGATGACTTCAATTGAGGGGAAAACCGCGGTGGAATTCCCTGGATTTCCTTGGAATTTCTTGGATTTCTTGAAATTTCTTGGATTTCCTTGGAATTTTTTGGATTTTCTTGAAATTCCTTGGGTAAAGTGCGGTATAATTCTGGTGTACAAAAAACTGGAATTTCTTGGATTTCCTTGGTTCTTTGGAATTCCATGGATTTCCTTAGAATCCCCTGGAGTTCCTTGGACTTCCTTGTGGGAAGTGAGGTATAATTTTGGTGTACAAACAACTGGAATTCCTTGTGAAATTCAAGTTTGGTGTACACAATTTTGACAGCGGTTTACCTCTCGACCTCAATCGAGTTTATATTTTTGATATCAGAACAAAGAGCTCTATCGATGAGGAAAATGAAATGCAGAGTATTCCATTTAAAGAAAATTGCGATTCCTTCTTGCATTTTCTAGCGTTTTCTATTTATTATAGTAATAAATTTTGAATGCCCATAAAATATAGTTCATATTTGTCCATTTGAACGCATATTTGTACATTTCTTTTTCGATCTCTTGATAGTGATTGTTTCTGATTGAATATTATTGTTCATTGTAGATATAGCTTTAAATTGAGATCATTCATCCCATTTATGATATTTTGATTCAATTAATTTTTGAAATCTGTCAAGTCCGTTTGGAGAACGAGAAAACAACACTCAGTGTAATTGAAGTTTAGCTTTAAGAACATTGATGATTTCACGAGATTATTTTTTCGGCGAACGATGTACCTATCATAATGTGTGTGTTGTGACGTGTCACTTTCAATATACCTATTGAGAGTTAAGTATAATTTGAAAACAGCATATTATTCAAAATCGAAATGAAAATAACACTCTTAGGGACAACTCACTGTAATAAATGATGGGACAGAAATGGAGAATAGACACTTTATTTCGCTGTTACGTCATTCAGTGCAGTTTATTCCCGACTATTTTCCCCATTATGCCTATCTATAGCCCAAAATTTCAATTGCCGAATATTTGACATCTTTTTCCTAATAATTCCGATTTGATGCCGCCTATTTCTGCAGTTCTTCTTCAATGCCTACTAGTGCCATTTAGTGCCGATCATTGTCGAATAATGCCGATAATGCCCCAAGTACCTATTGCCATTTAATTTCAAACATTTTGTACCCCTATATCCATCGATAGGTATGTGTATGATTGTGTTATTTAGTAATATTCTATGGTTCTTTAAAAGATTTGATGAAGATGATTACTGTTGTTGCTTTTCGAAAAAAACACCACTTTCTGAGGAAAATGTGTTTAATCAGATCCGCAGAGGGCGCATTCGCCAATATCTAGAATAACGCCATCTCGAACGACATTTATTTTGCAGCAAGCGTTGAATGATCGATAAAAAATGCAGTGATCATGAAATATTAGAATATTACATGGAAAATTGACAGTTCGTGGAGAAAACCCTCGAGAAAAAACAAATCGTAATTTTTTTCAGTCAGCGTGACTTCGCGATTAAAACTTTTGTGGTTGTGGATATAGTTCAGATTTCAGTTCTAGACGTCCGTTGTCTTATCAATCTCATCGGCAGTAGTCTCGGAAAAAGTTAAACGGCATGCATCGGGATGCTAATTAAACAAAAAAAACAACAATCTTAGTGAAGCTGACGGAAGTAAGCTCAACTTATCAATTAGTCGGAGCTGGCAGAAATAGGTCCTAGGTTGTACCTAATAATAGAATAACAAAGCTCTCGCAAAGAGTGTGAGTAGATAGTTGATACCTACTGAAAATAACTTCAAGAAAAAAAGTTTTATATTGGAAAGTAAATGATGACGGGCATACGAATGAATATTCAAAAACTCTAAGTTTGGGCAATTTTATCATCAATTAAAATTAAATATACATCGGATATGGATGTACGTATTACCTACCTATATCTATGCCAATTTAATATCCAAACATATCTAGGTATTAAATATGTATCAAGTGTGGGTTATTTCCGGATTGGGAAGGTATATTTTCTATAACTAGATATGTATCGAATAAGCAGCTGTTTCCCAAATTGCCGTAAAAGTCAATTTACAAATCTACAAGGACCCAACTAAAAGTGACACAAACTTTAGTACCCGCCGACCCGCCCAATCAATTTCAATATCGCGGAGACATTCTTGTATCTTGTATTGTGGTATAGTGGATGTCCCTGTATTTTAACATGTCATCCGCTATCCGCTATACATAACAACTACCTGGCAAATATAATATGCTAATGAGCTTTTTCGCGCCAACTTTTATCCATTTCACTTGGACTTTCGGTGTTCCGACATAGAATCTATGGAGATAGACCAGTAATTTTGATGAAATCATGAATATGTCTAATCTATATGAAGTATAACTTCAGAAAATCAATAATGAAACAAGTTTTGTAATATATAGGATATAAGTAGGTAGGATACCAAGGTATTATACCTACTAATCCAACTTTTCTGAACTGATTTTGACACGACAGCAATAAACACATTACATTGGTATCACATCCCTTTAAACTTGTAAATATACAACTAAAATACTAGTATTTCCTTTTGTATAGGTATACCTAGTACATATCTAGAGTTTTCAGTAGGAATGCCAATCATGTCTTATGATTCTACATCTTTTTTTTCAGTTCAAATTCGTGTAGCAAAATCTAGTATAAAAAAAAACAAACACTTTCTTTGTGAAGCTCAATAATTAATTTCTCAATTTACCTTGTTAATTGGCATGCATCACAAGGATCGTTGTTGAGAGTATCCCACATTTTCAGTCTCTAAAGTAAATAATCCAAAAAAGAAAACAAATCGCGTCTGGTAGTGAAGGTAGCACAGTCCACTGTCTTTCAACGACTAACGAACTGAACAAACCGTACGCTAAACAGCTCGATCAAACGCTTACTGAAGTTTTCAGTGAACGGAACTCTTTATTAGAACTGGTCTGGCCCACACTACACTACAGTTAGATGTGGTGGGGGAAATACACCCTATCTGTCTTCAGGGGGATGGTTTTTGGACAGTGACAAGGGCGCCAAATGGAGAACCGGCTCGTGGTAGTTCGGCACGACGGGAAAAGTATGCAAAGATGATGATTTTTGTGGAAAAATTCAGCAACAAAGAGATAAGTATCTGGGAATTTGTTGACGATATTTTCACAGGAAAAAAAAAATGCAGGTGATTGCTATTAGTTTTGCATTCTAGCAATAATTAGGTGAGAAAATTGAATATAGTTACCGAACATGAAGAATAGGTACATAGGTGCCTATAAGCAGCTATAAGATAATAAACCATAAACTAGTTTCCTTGCAGGAAATTGGAAAAGGGATGTTATGGAAATGGAATGTTTCTAAAAACATCTTGTACATACAATAAGCGATAATCCTAACCTAGGTAGCTAACTTGGTGGAAAGCGCATATCGATATTTATATATTCGTCGGTGAAATAGCAAAACCAAGTAACTGACAAAAATTCGAAAATGGGATTCTGGCGGCAATCGGTCTATCATATTGGTGTGGATGCGCATGCAAAACCTCATAACTGATGGTAAAAAATTGTAAATAGTTTATAATCCATAAATACAAAACTACTTATCTGAAAACAAAATAAAAGGAGTCGTCAAAAACAAGTATCTAACAGTTGGCAACGTGATTCACGCCTCTGATATTTTGTGTTCAATTTCTTTACACAGAGATTAATCTCTGGTAATTGGTGAGTGACTTTTCATAGAACAGATATGTAAAACAGTTCATTCTCAACTTCAATTGGTATTTTAACACAGGATATGAGAATTTATCTCAAGTATTTGTTGAGCAGAAAGTCCAGAAAAATGGAGTTACGTGTTTCTGCGAATTACTTTTCTGAATAATTGTTGTTTCTTTCGCACAGAAGCAAATGTCAAAACCAAGTATCTCATACGCTGACAAACAAAAACAATGACTTTTTTCAATAATCAATGTACAAACGTAAGGATAATAATAATCAGGTAGTTTGTAACTATTTTTAATTGAATCTGATCAGTTAACCCGAAATTATAAAGTTTTTAGTGTCTCCTGAAAATTTTGGTTTTTGCAGTTACTTGGTTTTGCGGTTTCGTCGACGATGCTGAAACTAATTTTTTTGCGAAAATTATTTTTTTTATGAAACTATATCCAAATCATTGAGTTTGCCATGAGAATTGATTCTCATCAGAGACACTGAAATCAGTATTTATTAATTAAGTTCAATAACAAGACTCGTTCTTTTTGAGATATTTTCAAATGGGTAATGTTATACTTATATGTCATCGTTAATTTCAACGTTTTCCATTGAAACGAATGAATTAGGAAAATTCTCATAATATGATTTTTCAAGTTCTTGTTCTTCCGAGGCCCCTTTCGCTAATTTATCTAAAGATGTCATTTCTGGTTTTGACTGGAAGTGCAAGAATTGGTATGAAAACACTGATGCCTTGGTGACATTACTTCTAATAATTCGGATAGAATGCCTTAGCATGAATTTTTTAATCAAATCCTTTCAAAATTTGTGAATTATACGATTGGGACTGAGTTGAAGTCCTTCCTATGTATGAAGTTTCAAAATCAGTGCAATATTGATATACCACTTTCAAATATTTTCTGGAGTTGACCAAATGAAACAGCCTGTGGTTTCTGGGTTATTTTTTCCTATATTATTATATGTTTCATTTAGCATGAGAATATTAAAAAAAATATCATGTCAGGACAGGGTCACCCTTTCGAAAGGCGTTGCACTGGTTTTTTTCAACCCATGTTTTTTTCCCTATTTTGGGTCTCGGCACACCCGCTGATGGTGGATTATTGTACGTTTATCTCGAAATACTGTATATTTCTGAAAACATGATTCATTTATGAATCACAAGGAAAATTAATATTATAATATTCTTCCTTCTTCAACTCTGAATTTCATATGAAACATCGGACTGATTGTAGAAAATTGATATTTCATTTTCTGTTCCCGGAATACCTTGTGAATAGAATGAAAGAAATAATTTCTAAGAAAAAATGCAGGCTAATACAAGGACGAAAGGATATACCCATCAATAAACATGCAATGCAACGGTTCGAGAAGTTCATCTTTGGGCATATCAAAAGAAATGGTGAACTAGGTCATTATGACCTTTTTAATTTTTCTGTTGTTTGCATGAATATTCAGTCATACTTCGGAAAACCTCCTATTACTTGAAATACTTCATTTCCTCTTGAAATGAGACATCATGTCATGAATATATGTTTCAACAATTTTATATGTGAGAGAAATAAAAAAATATAGTTTTTGCACAACTTTATTCAAAGAAGTACGAAGAAAATGAAATTAATCCGCAAACAATAGATTGAATTGGTTTGAACACATCAGCACAATCAATGAGATGTTTGAAAAAAAACTTAGATCATTATTCTGGTAATGAATGCAATGGATGATAGAAGACGAAAGAACAGAACGAAATAAGAGAACACATTTTTGTCCAAAAAAAAAATTGTAAGACATTTGAGCTTCAAAGTTTGCCTGGAACTATTGTAAATCATTTATCAGATGTTAATATCCCAACCAAAGCGTTTGCTTTCAGCGAGATAACAAGCACCGCAGCATCGGCACTTTTGCAATGTTGCCGACGTTCAATAATAGGTAAAAGATGTAGTATGGGTGGGAGCGCACATTTTTTGAATAATTTTCAAAACATTTTTGTTGTGATTTATCGTCATTATGTCTCATAGAAGACCCCATATGATTTATTCCTCCAATTTCGGAATCACCCAGTCGATTTTTGGAAACATAGTTTATTCTCATGATTTCCACATCTGGAAGAAAAATACGCCCCATCTATGAAAACTCTCTGTATATATTTCTCAAATTCAGCATACCCGCACTTTCCGAAACTTATCCATTCCTCGAATATCCGAAATTCTAAATTTGGTTAGATATTTTTTTTATCTACTGGAGCGTACGAAAAGAAATTCCTATGATGTTCGAAGAAAATCGTGCGTACCTAGGAAGGATAGGGAGAGGTAGGTGCTTGGGAATACCTTCTTTGGCAAAGAAATCGAAAGCTTTGCCGTTTTATAGACGAACGAGTTTTGGTTTAGTGTTGTGCGACATATTTCAAGGATGACAAGGAAAGGATGTGCTGACTGGGCATGTCGATTTTGTCTGAGTGGTATTGCTAGTGATGGAATTATAGCAGAGATTTCTGAAGAACATTTCCCGTGGGAGTATCTATAAAAGGGTGGAAGGTCGCCAAGTTATCTACGGTGTTTTAATGAAGTCAAAGTATTAGTGGGTGTAGCATCACCCACCAAGCGGATGGTTCTTCTTTAGATGGACTCTAAGAGCATCATCGTATGTTTGGGTGCTGAACCCCATATGTGAGAACAGTATTCTTATTGACCGTATCTGTGCTTTGTATAGATCAAGAGAAGCAGTTGGGTGTGAGGTGGATTTTCGGAATAAATATCCGAGTTTTTGTGAAGCAGCTTTCGCGATGGTTTTCCCATGAAAGAGTATTGCTGATGGAGATACCGAGCATCGATATAGTGGTGCTGGTGGCAATGGTGGTATATACCAAGCATTGTTTTATTATATCAGGCACACTGAGTTCCGCCTTTCTGCAGAAAATACAGGCGTCAGATTTGGTGGCGTTGAATTCAACTAGGTTGTTGTTACTCAGACTGTGATTTCAGCAAGATCGTAATTGACACCGTTGACCAGCCTTCGTCGTGAGTTCTTAGTTTTCTGGGAAGAAATGGGAATTCAAGAAGGGAATGCATTATGGAAAGTACTATCCACTGCAAAGCTGTGGATAGGGCAGGTGAAAAAATCATTGATAATTTTGATATGAAGTAGGAACAATGTTGGTGCCAAAATTGATGCGTGTGGAACGCCGGAATTGATGGTAATGATATCAGACGATATTCCGTCAACCACTAGTTGAGCTGTTTTTTAGCGTAGAACTGTATTCAATGATGGTTTGAAAACATATTCGATACTACGTCATGATTTAGATGGTCGCCAAAATGTTATATATTTGAAATGAATTTCTTCATTCGTCAACTGTCATTTGGTTGTTTTGTTTGTTGAGTACCACAGAAACCACTAGCCAGAGCTGTTATTTTACTTGTTTTCGAGATTTTATGTGTTGAAAAGGTTGAAAAGTAAGTCAGAATTTTAATTTTCATCTGTTTCTCCATCAACATTCAAAATCATGTCATTAATATTCACTTGGTACATTTTGAATCAGACTTTTTCGTATTTTAAAAGTTAATACAGAAAACTATGAGGAATATCAACAATTTCGAAAAATACATAAACAAAACATGACAATTGACAGCATTGATATATATATATTTTGGAACACAAACTGTAAGCAGGCAAACTATATAATGTTAGTAAGTTATAGTATAGTTACCTTATACTTTTCCAAATTAACTAAATATCGAATATACCTTTAAGCCGAGCTTTAAGCCGACGTCACCCATGTGGAAAATCTTTACATTATCACTCAGGTGGGGTGATGTTATAATTATCAATTGGCAGCTTGAGTTTTAAAATAATGTATAAAAATAACTATTTTCCGTCGACCTCGTATTAACGACTAAGTTTAATGTATATGAAATCGTTCATTAATGACCCCTATTAATGAACGATTTGTCTATTAATGTACGATTGTTTTATAGGCAACCAAACATACACCGCGTGCATTCATTGTTTATGCTATAACTTACGGAATCTGCATTTAAATCGAAAATATGAATTTCATTGAAGATTTTCTGTTAACGGGTTCACCTTTCCAAGTTTCTGACACGATTTTAATCCCTGTTTTCTAACACAAGGAATTTATTTTCTATGTTGATCATTTCGACAAGTCAAATGTCACTAATGTCAGTGACAAGG